AGAAACTTGCCAAGAAAATGATATGATAGGTTTGCCTTAGGGTCACCAAAAATCAAAAATGAGTTGGAGGCACACAACCACAAACAACAAGTGAGCTGTAAAAAACCTTATACTGTTTGCATGTCCTGTTGGATCCAGTGAAATGGATTGTAGTTTCTAGAAGTTTCTTCTTCCGTTAGTCTCAAAGGTGCTACTGGACCCCTTTATATCTTTTTATGTTAAAACAGACTGACACAGCTATGTGTTTGAACTCTCCTTAAAGAGTGTCTGCAGCAGGACATAAACCAAATAATTATGTCCTCTCAGGAGGAAATTGTTCTAATAGCCCATTCCACCATAATCATAATTATTCATAATAAAAAGAACAGTGCCATCCCACACACAGATCCAAAGTGGAATGGAAAATATTGCAAGTTGTGATTAGCAGTCATATATCTGGTACTATATAAAAATGTAACATATAAATCAGGGGTGTGCAACTTCATCAAGTCTGCAGTAGGGTAAAAATCTGCCTCATGGGTGAGATGAACTGCCAAAAATATGAGGAAAAAATTCTGGTAGAGGTTGGGAAGTCCCTTTCTGGCTTTGAAATTTTTCAGAAAGTGAAATGTTAAACATGACAGGGGAAGGAACCCTTAAGCCTTTAAAAAAAGTATTTGTTGCTTCTGGAGACTTTTGGGGTGGAGGAGGTGAGGGCCAGAAGCTACAAAAACAGTTTTATGGGGCCCCTAAGCAGCCCCATGGCCACATTAGGACCATCTCTGACATAAATTAGCCATTTCTCAGGTGAGTCTACTAAGGAATGAGGAGAAATGCCTTATCTATGAGTGCTTATGTCCCTTGGCTTTATCTCAGTGGGAACCAAACATTTCTGACTAATGCATAATCAGTTCCAAAAAGTTAATGCCATGCAAATTGACAAGATCTCTTATGTGGTGACATCTGTTGTCCTGTCGGTCACATACACTGAAGATTACATTCAGTGGATCACACAGTCCTGAAAGAATTAATGGTAAAAGGCCACATCTATACTGTAATTTAAAATGTTTGTCTTTTTGTTAGGAGAAAAAAGAAAGGGAAATCCTCACCAGTATGGCTTTGATCTGTAAAACACTGAAGCTGTGTTACTTCCAGTGCTCACTCTCAGTTGTTACACTTACTACACAGTATATTAAACAATGTATATTCTCAAGTGAGAGGTGGGAAGGTGACAGTTCTCCCCCCCCCCTTGGTAAACAGCATTTATCTACATAAATTAGATTATGTTAGATAAACGGCATCTTTCCCTAGTTTTCTGTGGATTTTCCGGGCTATGTGGCTGTGTTCTAGAAGAATTTATTGTCTTTCCCCTTCAAACTATAACAAGGAATTTGGTTAACATTTGCAAACATTTCTGAGGGGAAAGTTGTTAGATGTACACACTTTATGGTCAGTTGTGTCCTAGGATAGCAGAACTGAAATATTTCATTTAGGTCCCATTCACACTACTAACATACAACACTTTGGTTCCACTTTAACTGCCATGGTTGCATCCTATGGAATCCTGGGATTTGTAGTTTGGTCAGACGTACTAGAGGATCTCCCTGTCTGTGGATCCTAAAGGCCCTTCCCTAAACTGCAAAACCCTATATGAAAGAACCATGGCAGTTAAAGTGGACTCAGAGTGATATAATTGTGTAGTGTGAAAGACCCTTACATACCTCCAAGGGGGAAATGGCTGAGACAAAGTGATTTTTCCTTCCTAGAACTATTTGATTTTCCCATCATAGAACTGTCTGCTGCAGTGGCCATTCCATTTGCTCATTATATGACATTTTAAACTAAAAGAATCTAAGAGTTGTTGCCTGAATATGTTTACCTTTCTCTCCCATTCCTATTTATGTCTCCGTACATATTATGACTTTTTGACCCTAAGTGAAGCCTTTATTATAACATAAACTTTTCTAAGTGCTTGAGCTGGAACAAAAAGGCAGCATATACAAGTCTATCAACAGATAATGAATAAGCATAAAATGTTATCTAAAATTATAGCCCTGAACTACTGAAGTGCCAGTAGCTATTATTATAACTAGCTCTAAGAGATGACTGCCTGAAAGTGTGATCTGCAGTAGGAGATATTTTCCTTTGCAGCCCTTTCCCTATGTTACTCAGTGCTTGTAGTCAAAGAACAGAAAAACAACCTGAAAGAATAAATAGACATGGTATAGTGGAGCAAAAGTGCAAAGTTCTGCAGATCTGCTTACACTGTGATTAATGGGACTTAACTTCCAGTTCAATCTGTGTAGGATTTCAGGCTAACTTTAATTTCTACTTAATTAAACTTAATTTGTTGCCTACAACAGAGGGCAAATGGTGTCCTCCCATCATCCATATTAAGGTGTCTAGTATCCCAAGCCAGTCAAATTATTTTGGCACATGAGATAGAACATCCCACAAGCACCTAACCCATTACTGGTAGTAAAAATGCAATAATACTAAAGTATATAATGAACAATGTGCCACCCTTTTGTGACACCTGAAAACAGCTGCCTAAAGCAATGGCTTCACTCTGCTTAACAGCAGAGCTGGCCCTAATTATAGTTAGCTGATGACAGCAAACATGGGAAAGAGGACTGTAGAATTTC